ATTTCACCTTTCTCACCCGACGGCACGGACACGGTTGGGGCTGAAAGCCGACAGCTCGCTGACTCCGCTTTGTATTCACGCCCTTTTTGCGCTGATTCTGAAGCTGCAGGTTTTTATCTCTCTCCAAACAATATTGACTGAACCAGCAGCAAAAGAAGATCCAAACTACTCTTCACGAAAACATCGTCATGAATTCACTCTGACTTTTGCTGTTTTGCTTCCACCAGGATAAAATCACACTTCATGCACAGCTTTCTCTCTCTCTCTCTCTTGAACAGTTTCCCGTCTAAAAATCTTTTTTCTTCATTATTCGCTTGTTTATTACGCACAAGTCTACCAATGTTTACAGGCTGTCGGCAGATGTTTTTGTCCTTTTACTTACTTCTGAAAAGAAAGCCTCATTTCTGCTGTTCAATACTGAACAAATTTAAACTTTTTAAAATTATGCAAAATTGCAAAACGCTGTGTATCTAATCAAACCTCTGTAACTTTGCTCTGCTTCACGTCAGCAGCATCAGGTAATGTTCATGTGTTGATTAATGGTTTTCGTTCGTTTTTGATCTACTGCAGAATATTTTTATAAAATCCCAGGAAAATCACCTTCTGTGTTTTATCTTCAGCTACTTTGACACAAAGGCCTCTGCTGTGATGCTCACACCTTTGATAAAGTCTCACAAGTGTCAGCTTTCTTTTTATAGATCTAAAAATATAGAAATCTACTGATGCATGATCTGATTATAATATTTCTGACTGTCTGAGGCAAAATTTCCCTGAATTGAATCGATTCTAGAAATCAGTGACGACACAGTTACACAATCATACCAAAACTCTGTCCTGAAAGTTTCCACTTTCTCTTTTGTATCAGACACACTGAGACAATATTCGGGATAAATAACCACGAAAACTATTTATTTATTCAGTTTAGAGGTTTACAGATCACGTCATTATAATCACATAACCTGTTTCTGAATCGTCCATTTGATGGCGCAGTAGAGCAAATGAATCATCACAATGCTTCGGACCATGAGTCGACCAGTTGGATGGAAGCTTCAGTTCATCACGAGGCTTCATCTCACCATCACTAACTGAGTCATTCCACTAACTGGTTACAATTGGACTTGGATGTTTTCACATTTTTTACCAAAATGTATTATTTATATGTATATCCCACATCATTAAGGATATATTTAACTATCAGAAAAATGCATTTTCCCATCTCAGGCATTAGTTTTCGTTTATTATTGATCATATCTTCAAGATGTAGTGACTGTAATTCTTCAACCCCGTTATGGACACTTTGGAGGCTCTCTGAATATTATCTTAAAATGTATTTCTAAAGAAATCAATATGTTTACATTAGTTAGATGTCCCCCATACTAATTCAATAATTTTACATAGAAAAATGACATAAAATCACACATTTTTACTCTCTTAAATCCTGAAATGTAACTGAGTGAAAGCTATCTTGTCATTTTTCATCAAAAATTTAGTTTAACTAAGAATTGTAATCAAAATCAATGATCGTATGATAGCGCTCAATATTTTAGACAAAAATCAGCAAACATTAAATTATTTTTTCAACATTTTGAGAAAATAATATATGAAAATGTAGGTGTGACGGGGTTGAGACTAGCATAACAGGGTTGAAGAGACAAATACAGCTTTACATATAAACAGTTGTTTACTCCTAAATTCAATTTACAGGGCTTTCCATTAGCATTATATCTCACTTTGTAACCATAGGAACGACACCAGATACAAACTGCAGCAGAATCAAGTTTTATTGATCTAAAGTAAAAACAACCACAACAGCACTTTAACAACTAACAAACATTGTAAAGTGAATTACTCCAATGTAACATAATGTGTGTTTGCGCGTGCATGTGTGCG